CAAGAACTTAGTAACCCAATGGAATATACATACTTTTGGCAATATCTTCCACAAGAAAAGAAGGATCCTAACCAGAATTGTTGGAATCCAGAAATTCCCCATCAATCAGTTTAGAAACTTTCTTTTGAACCTAGAAAGTAGCCTGATTAGAGATCTAGACTTTATCCTCGGGAATGAGAAAGATTTTTGGAAGCTCAAATCAAGGGCCAGCTGGCTAACTGAAGGTGATACCAACAATAGATTCTTCCACACCTCCACCCTCAATAGGAGAAGGAGGAACAAAATCCTGTCCCTTAAAGATGACAGCGGGAACTGGCTCTATGATCATGGAGACATTAAGAACTCAATCCTGACTTCTTCAGGAGCCTTGACACCTCCTCCCACACCCCCCCCCCCCCCCCACTATCAGTCATCTAGATATGACCAATACTCTCTCCAACTACCAAGGAGAAAGCTTGGACAGACCCCTAGATGATAGGGAGATCAAATTTGCCATCTTCTCCTTCAAACCTTTTAAAGCTCCTGGTCCTAATGGGCTACGTCAATGGAATATATAGAATTGTGATCAATCAAATATTGCAAAGTCCCGGTATTTATTACCTCTACCAAAAATACTGGAGCATTGTGGGGAAATCAGTGATTGAGTTTTGCAAGTCACGCTTTGACACACATTCCATCGATAAGACTCTACTATGCCTCATCCCCAAGTGCCCCTAGGCTACCATGCTCAAAAACTTCAGACCAATAGGACTTTGTAATACCATCTACAAGACTATCACAAAAATCATTGTTAATAGAATCAAGCCACCCCTCCCTGACATAATTGGCACTAGCCATGCAAGCTTTTTATCTAACAAAAGGACCTCTGACAATGCTATCATAATCCAAGAATATATCATCCATTTTGGTAAAATGAGAGGGAATCAGGCCCACATGATCCTCAAAATTTACTTAGAAAAAGCCTTTAATAGGCTAGAGTGATCCTTTATTAGAGACAGCCTCCAAGCTTTCAACTTCTCATCTGGGCTAATTAAGTTAATCATATCCTGCATTAGATCCTCCAACATTTCCATTAGGCAAGGGGATCTCATCTCTCCATATCTGTTCATCATGTGCATGGAGAGGCTCTCCAGACTCATGATAGGGCTGTGAATGACATGCAATGGCTTCCCATCAGTATTTGTAGGTCTGGCCCAAAGATATCCCACCTCTTCTTTGTTGATAACCTTACCCTGTTTGCACAGGCAAACACCAGAAACTGCAACACAATCTCTATTATCCTGCAGTCTTTCAATGAAGCTTCTGGTCAAAAATCAATCTCACTAAGTCTAGGGTGCTTTTCTCCTCTAACATTAAGCCTGACATCATGGAGAACCTTACAAGTGCTTTTTCCATTCAAGCCACAACCTCCTTTGGTAAGTACTTGGGCTTCCCTGTTCCACAAGAGACCCTCCAATAGTGACTTCCAGTTCATAATAGATAATATGCAATTCAAATTATCTGGCTGGAAAATAAATTGCCTAAATATGACTGGAAGAGTTATTCTAGCCAAAACCTCTCTTAGTAGTATACCAAGCCATGTCATGTAATATATCAAACTGCCCACCAAAACTACCAACCAAATAAATAGAATCCAAAGGAATTTTTTCTGGGGAACTACTCCAAATAAAAAGAAAATACATTTGGTCAACTGGGACAAAGTCACTAAACAGAAGTCCCATGGAGGTCTGGGATTATAGAAAGTTGAATGTAAGAACAAAGCCTCCCATGCAGGGCTGGCCTGGAGGATTTTTCACAACACCTCTAGCCCGTGAGCTAAAGTCCTAATCTCCAAACATTGTAACTAGAACCATACCCCTGGAGAGCCCAAGTCCCCAATCTGGCAATGTATCCTCAAAGGTAGGGATACATGTAATAAGGCCAGTAGATGGGTGGTCCACAAAGGAAACAGGGTGAGCTTCTTTAATGATGCTTGGATTCCTGATCATCCAGCTATTAGGGATATGATTGAGGGCCCACTCACCCCCAAATGACATTGTTACCAAAGTGGACACTATCTACAGTTCTGAAAACTGTGATATTTCATCCATCTCTATGAATCTCCTTGAGGATATCACTAATCTAATCAAATCTACATTAATCCCTACAAACTCTGCCAAGAAAGACAGGATAATTTGGGGGCTGACTCACAATGGTTCCTTTATCACCAAATCAGCCTATATCTTCCTTAGCAACAACAATAAGCCTCTGATGAATGGGGAACAGGGTAATTTCAGTTGGATATGGAGGTTAAAAGTTCCAAAAAAGATTAAAACCTTCATCTAGCTGCTTGGACAGGATAAGCTCCCAACTAGAGCATTGCTACACATAATAAGAATCAACTACAACCCTGCATGTTGTTTCTGCTCCAACATACCAGAAAGTAGTGACCACATATTCTTTGAATGCCCTAATGCAACTCAATTCTAACATGAGCTGATCTCAAAAGGTTCTGTTGCTAGTCAACAGATGAATCCTATCGTTACAACACAGCTATGGCCAACCACATGGAGCAAGTTAAGGAAGTTGTCTTTTAATAACACTATCTCCACGGAAGTCATTCTCCCTTTCTGCTTTTGGCACATTTGGCTAACTAGGAACCATAATTCGTTCAATAATAGGAAAGATGACATCTCAACCGAAAACACCATTGCCAAATCAACTGAGTACCACACAATAGCTCACGCAGGAGCTGCTAGGAAGAGTTCTCCTACCAGAGTTAAGT